CGGCGCACAGTGACTCCCGGTAATTAAAAATTCACCTCCCCTCCTAATTGAGATTAAGGGATGAAAAAGGGCAGTTGATGAGAAATTTAATTCTCAGTCGAACTGATTTTTTTCATCCCTTAATCTCAATTAGGAGGGGAGAAGTGAATTTTTAATTCGCGGGCGAAAGGTAAAAAGTCACTGTGCTCCGAGAAGAAAATTATTTTTCTCACTGGCCCATGATTTTTGTCGTAGTTTGTATTTTTTTGCTAGAGAGATTAAGGGATGAAACGGCGATCGATTGATGGGGAATTTAATTATCCGTCGAACTGCCCTTTTTTCATCCCTTAATCTCAATTAGGAGGGGAGAAGTGAATTTTTAATTCGCGGGCGAAAGGTAAAAAGTCACTGTGCTCCGAGAAGAAAATTATTTTTCTCACTGGCCCATGATTTTTGTCGTAGTTTGTATTTTTTTGCTAGAGAGATTAAGGGATGCAACGGCGATCGATTGATGGGGAATTTAATTGTCCGTCGAACTGCCCTTTTTTCATCCCTTAATCTCAATCAGGAGGGGAGAGGTGAATTTTTAATTTGCGGGCGAATGGTGAAAAGTCCATGTGCGCTACGAAAGAATTATTTTTCTTACCGGCCCCTGAGTTTCATGGCAGTTTATATTTTTTTGTTACAGAGATTCAGGGATGAAAGAGGGTTAATTGATGGGGAATTTAATTCTCCGTCGAACTGCCGTTTTTTCATCCCTTAATCTCAATTAGGAGGGGAGAGGGGAATTTTTAATTCGCGGGCGAATGGTGAAAAGTCAGGGTGTGCCGCGACAAAAAATTATTTTTCTTACTGGCCCCTGACTTTCATGGCAGTTTATATTTTTTTGTTACAGAGATTAAGGGATGAAAGAGGGTTAATTGATGGGTAATTTGTTGTATACCCTAGTATTTTAACCTTTTTTTATAGCAATTTCACTATATTTATTAACTATACTTCATTATATTTTTGTCGATATATTATTCCAACATTCACCGTAGTTCCATAAAACCTGAATGGTTCGTCTGGACCTCTCCCAATAATATTATTAAATAGACATAGTAAATAACTTTAACTAAATTCCCAAACGACTGTCTCCTCTCTGGGCCAATTCCCACTCTCCCATTTCTTCCATCAATACAACCTTTGGGCCATTTCCCTCATTAACTAAAATTCCCGAGAACCGCAATAAACTCCTGGAAATACCCAAGGCCATCATAAACCTTAACGTCGCCAGAACCCTTAACCACTCCTCTGACGTCACGAGTCCCAAACCTTCCCTCAAGTATGCCCAAAAATGGCAATGTTAATCATCATCCCCTCCAGTTTTCCTTGCACCCTCAGGTACATAAAACTGAGGACTTCCACAATTTTAGTTAGTATTAATTTCATCGTGTAACAGAACCTCTGTCCGAAACTCGAAATATATAAACATCTTAGAAATTATTTTGAATCAGAGTTGTCACAATATTTAACAGTTTAAAAATATATTCTCGAATAAATTATCAGTTTTATTTTGTATAAAATCTGTGTCCGGAAATTTATTCAACAAGAATCCAACAAATTTAGTTCTCCGTCAAACAGCCTTTTTTTCATCCGAGAGAGTGAGAGAGAGAGAGAGAGAGAGAGAGAGAGAGAGAGAGAGAGAGAGGGAGAGAGAGCGAGAGTGAGTGAGAGGGAGAGCGAACGGCTGACGAAAAACCTCAAATGATTCTTTTTCTCGCATTCAGTCCGTGATGTTCCACAGGCCCGTGCGCGCATGCGCAAATGGTCGCAACAATGCTATAGCGAGTGGGAGCGAGACGGAGACTTCTCTCTCGCACAAAAGGTTCTCATTCCCGGCACCGGATTTAGACAAAATTTGTGGTAAATGTTCTAATAAAAAATATGGAAGAAAAAAAAAAGAAATTCATCGATTCATTGTCAAGATATAAATAGCAACATGTATTAAATTCGCTCCGAATAAATAAACAAGCTATTAAAAAAAAACACAGATATTCCGAATTACAAAAAAAAATTCATTAATTTCAATTTTTTAAATGGAAAACATTTTTTTTCCGATCTGATCTTTACGCGGCTTTGGGGGATGAACGGTTGGGAATAGGGGTAAAGTGCCCCAAACATTTTTTATGTAGAATTTTGAACTCTACAACTTTGTATATCACGTTTTTGGACGTACAGTGCGTTATTCATGAGTTATTTCAAAAAAACGGTTTTCAGGGGTAGTTTTTTGGCTTTGGAGTCGCGCGTGAGAAGCGATACCGAACGGACGTGTTCTAAAGTGAGCTCCGTAAAGTATACGTGTTTTACGCGTATTGTCTTAGCTGCAAAGCTCAGACAAATGAAGTTGAAGTAAATAAATATAAAGTGAAAAGTAAATTGTGAATAGGATTAGGGAAGGCGAAGGGATAAAAGGGGAGAATCCCCGAAAATCCTGCTGAAGTTCCCTTTGGGGAAGGGACTTCAGGGAAACATGGCGACAAAACACCAGCAAAAGTCACAAGATCCAATACAAGAAAGTATCCAGGAAGTCATCAGCCCGTCAAGTTACTCAACAGCCACAAAAAGAACAAAAAGATCCACCAATGAATGCGCAATCATTATTGAAAATACTGTCCAAGCTGATTATGAAGACTACATTATTGCCCTTACGAAATATCTGCCAGGATCGAAAATCTCCACTGTGAAACCCTCATCCAACAATCGACTCATAGTTTGGCTTGACAACAAGCAAACGGTCGATGAGCTCATTGACAAGACGAAATGCCTTATTGTAGCACAACAAAGTGTAAACATCCGTCCATACATCACGCGCAATAAGAGGATTACGTTCTCACCTGTATTCCCAGAAGTCGACGACGAAGTGATCATCAGTGTGCTTCTGGAAAATGGAATCAAAATAAAGGCGCCCATCACGACTATCAACGCAGGATTTAAACGTAAGGACATCTGTCACATTACGTGGACAAAAAGACAAACTTATATATCTCCTGAAGACGTCGGTAAGTTACCCGACAGATTTACTGTAGAAGTAGGGGGTAAACAAACATGGGTCTACATTGCACATGATACCAACGTATGCTATGCTTGTAAAAAGGAGGGTCATCTTGCCAGAAATTGTCCATCCAAACTTAATCTTCTGAATCAATTAATAGACACAAACGTCACAAATGACAATTCCAATTTCTTGCAAGAGACTCCTGTCACGCACTCCTATCCGACATTACCCTCCTCCAGTGCCAGCCAAAACACAGGTGTAGGCATTGCTGAGACCAAATCAATTACAGATCAGACAGGGGCAACAGCTAACACAGTAAATGTTGAGATTCATACAGACGAGATTAATTCAGTTGAGAACAACAGCATGGAGATTAAAGACACCAATACATCTAGGAAGAATAAGGCTCATCCCTCGACTGTGTCATCATCGGGTAAAATAGTTTCGGTGGAGGTCCCTGAAGAAGATATTGATGACTTGTGCAATACTAGAAGAGAGTCCCCAGGTGATACTGAAGAGGAGATAAGCAAACAAAGTGAACCATTCAAACATATCGCTAAAAGACAGGATTACCACGATGAAAACGGTGATCCCAGACACTCCTCCAAGTACAGAAGATCCGGAGTGGGCTGGGGTTGTCGATCTACTAAAAGACAGTGCCACGGACTTCCCGATAAAACTGAATCAGCTGCAGACATATCTCAAAGAATACGGTACTTTAGACAACGTTGTTCCTTTTGCTATGAAATTTACCAAAGACCTACCTGGGCTGAGCAACATGATTGACTACACCCAGGGAGCCATGCCCAAACCACTGAAGACTAAGGCTAAGAAAATAAAATTGAGACTCGATAAACACATTAAAGCGATTAATAACTCCAAAGCCATCCAAGATGTTAGAAACATGCTAGACCTCTCCGGAACTGAGGAGATGTCTGCTGAAGGGTCAGATGTAGAAATGGAATGTGAACCAGTGATTCCTCCTGAGGAGGAATCATAAAAAAATAATGTACACATCAGTTATGAATAGAATTAAAGCTCATTAATGTTAATCAGAAATCTATAATACTCAAAAATGCAGCCTGATTCATCAAAACCTCCCAGATTAAAAAAAGACTTAAGAATCAAGTGCTGGAACTGGCGGAGCATAAGGAGGATCAAAGAAGAACTGCCAAATTGGCTCGTAGACCTTGATGTTTTGATAATTATCGAATCTAGACTGAGTCCACAGACAACCGCGATAACTGAATATCAATATTCTGGCTTTAAGACCTTCAGACGTGATAGAGAAACGGACACTGGAGGGGGTATAATCATATTTTTTCGAAACAATATTGCGTTCATAGAAAATGAAGATGTTGACACACCAGACGACTCTATAGAACTAGTATCCATAAGCCTGAATAATATCTTTCCAAACATAACTCTATTAGTTTGCTACAGACCTCGAGGGCTCCTTTCACAGGAGGAGTGGAATCGACTTGTTGCCAACGCGAACAAACAAGAACACACTTTATTGATTGGAGATTTTAACGCCCACCACACAGACTGGAACTGTCGATCTACAAACACGAATGGCAGAAGATTTTTGAAGGCAATGGAGGATCAAGACCTCTTCTTACATAACAATGACACCTTATCCCACGTGGATCCTCGCAATCAAAGAAAATCCAACATAGACCTTATAGTAACGACGCTAGATCTGGCAGACAAAATCAACTACAAGCTGTGTGACGAACTCGGAGGATCTGACCACTACCCCCTAAGCCTATCAATAAATATCGAGAGAGATTATTACAACAAAAAAACCTTCAAAATCTATACCAAAAACACTGACTGGGAAAATGTGCTAGAAGACTGGCAAAGTGACTACTAAAAATTTCTTCATCCTGATTTTGACGTCATGGGTCCCCTTGAGCAGTACCATAAATTTGTTGAAATAGTTAAAGGAGCCATTGAGACGAATACTCCGAAGAGGAAATATCAAAATACAGATAGCAATAAAACAAATAAAATAAATAAAAATAACCGAGACAATCCATGCAAATGGTGGGATGACGAATGCAGTAAAGCGAAAAGGCTCAGAAGAGCTGCTCAGAGGAAATGGGAATATTCCCACAGCGTCGAAGATCGAATCAAATACAACAGGGAAGTGGCACGAACGAAAAAACTGTTTAAGAAAAAAAAGAGAGATCATTTCAGGGAATTTGCCAAGAGCATTGACAGCAGAACGAGTGCTAAATATGTGTGGAACATCTGTAAGATACTTAAGAACAAATGGGTCAAAGTTAATCACAATAGTTGTACCGAGCACTTACAGTGGCTAAACAAAATCGACTTAGCAGTAAACAAAATCAGCCCAGACTTCGTTCCCACCAATCCAGATCATTTCCTAGCCTGTCAAGATAATGAGTTTCTATCATCTGAATTCAATTTTGTAGAGTTTAACTATGCTCTTTCTTCACGAAAAACACATTGTTCTCCTGGCATTTATGGCATTGACTACCTAATTTTGAAAAAGTTACCTATCAAGTATCATTTAATTTTACTCGACATTTTCAACAGACTTTTCGCAGCTGAACAATATCCAGAAGAATGGATACATCATTTCATTCATTTCATCCCCAAGACAGGAGGGTCGGATGTCCGACCCATAGCTCTAGCTCCTTGTATTGCCAAGCTCTTCGAGAGCATGATCAAAAACAGATTGGACTGGTGGATTGAACACCACGAGATGATAAATAACAGTCAAACTGGATTTCGTAAAGGGGTTTCATGCCACAATAACCTGGCAAACCTATGTTTCATCATCAACGAAGCCCTGGCTCATCAACAACATGCTCTAGCAGCTTTTCTCGACGTCAAAGGAGCTTTTGACAACGTCAATCCACAAATTTTACTGGACAAACTTGCTGAACTGGGCTGTTCTCAGAAAGTAGCTAAATTCATACAGTTTCTCACGTACAAACGATTTATTCAGACAGTGAATCAAGAAGATCAGCCTAGACTGGTATACAAGGGAGTTCCCCAAGGGGGAGTATTGAGTCCACTTTTATATTCTCTTTATGTTTCTGAAATCACTAGAGATCTGCCAGACAAGGTTTTTGTATCTCAATTTGCTGATGACGTCGCAGTTTATACTTCCGACCCGGAGCTTGATGAATGTCAAACCACGCTTGTAGACGCGATTAAGGACATTAACGTGAAATTAGGCGAACTTGGTCTCGAACTAGCACCCCATAAGACGAACCTACTGCACTTCAACAATAAAAAAATGATTCCAGGGCTCTACGATTTCAGTTGACGGAGTCCAAATCAGCTCTAGTGAGTCTGCCAGATTCCTTGGAATCTGGTTTGACTGGAGATTTAGTTTTGACACTCATATTGAACGTATTCGTCAAAGATGCCTCAAATCGCTCAACATAGTAAAATACCTGAGAGGCACCTGGTGGGGGAGTGACCCACACACACTACTGTTGCTTTACAAAAGCTTCGTTAGATCTGTACTGGATTATGGACTCTTCATCTATTACCCCAAGAAAGTAAAATCCAGAAACGCCCTCGAGAGAATACAGTTTGAGGCGATACGAGCTGTTATGGGTTATAGGAAAACCACCCCTACCAACGTTCTACTGGCGGAATCGAAACTTACTTATATCGTGGAAAGAGCCAAATTCCTCTGCAGAAACTTCCTCATAAAAACGTCTTTAAACACTTCTCTCCAGTTCAACGACACGATGAATAATTTCTCCTTAACTGGACGTAGAAGCAGGGCCATAAAGTACCAAAGGCTAATCCACCAGGAGATAACAGAAACACTCCCATTACAACTTACTCTGTACACCTATGACAAATTTAACATCTACAGACTGAACTATAGTGATATCATGACTAACATTGAAGTAGACCTGGCAACAGGGAGAAATAGGAGGGATAACGAAGACAAATTAACTATCAAAGATATAATCAACAAGGAGAGTGATGACACATATTGCATTTACACGGATGGGAGTAAAGTGGCGGGGAACGACTATACTGGTGCTGCTTATTACTGTCCCAAACTAGGCATAGAAATCATCCGAAGCCTCAACCCACAGTGTTCTGTATACCCAGCAGAATGTCTAGCGATTCATGCAGCAGTAGACCTAGCCCTCGAACATCCAGACAAAAATGACTACATATTGTCAGACTCCATGAGTGCTCTGCTAGCTCTGAAATACCCCAAAATGTCCATCAGAGAAAATGATCATATTCTACAGGTGAGAGTCAAGCACAGCAGATTTCGTAGGAGAAATGATAACAACAGATTCATAAAATTCGTCTGGGTTCCCTCTCATTCTGGATATGAAGGCAACGAGTACGTTGATGACTTAGCAAAGCGCGGAACTAGCGCTGATACCATGGATATCAGCAAGGTCCCATTCACGGACTACACCGAGCTTTTCAAGAGAAAAATGGGACAAAATACAGTCGAACACTGTGAATCTTGCTACATCTCAGACAGAAAAGAGGAAAGGAGAAGCATACTTCCAGCAGTATTTCACCAATAGTGCAAAACCCTGGTTTGACAAATATCCCAAGCTGTCTCGCGAGGAAATTGTTTGGGTGAACCGTGCTCGAGCCAACCACTATAATCTGAATAGCTCCCTTGCCAGAGTCAAAATCATCGAATCACCATCTTGTTCCTGCGGTCACCTCGAACAGGACTTGGATCACATCCTTTGGGAATGTCCCAATCACAGTGAAGAAAGAAAGAAACTGCTCAAGGACATCAGCAGAGCCAACATTAAACCTCTTAAAATATGCAAAATATTGAAAACCCTAAGAGAAAGAGACATTAGAGCAATCTCAAAATACCTTAAAACGTATAAAATTCTAATATAAATCAAGTGTAACAAAAAGAATAATTCCGAAACAATTCTTAGTAAAGAGCTCTACATATGGGATGATTATGAAATAACAAAGTTGAATCGTTATCAATAAGCATTTCACATACTTTTGTATATATATGTATATATATATCTCTTTTATTTTGTACATTTCAATTTCTTGCAGCTGAATGGACCCTATTAAATTGGGTTCGGAAGCTTTAAATTAAAAAAAAAAAAAAAAAAAGTTTTTTGGCTTTTTCAACCCCCGCACAAACTTGGGGAACTTTAAACACCCGCCATTAGTTTCATACGCCCAAATCACAAATTGTATCAAAAATGGAGCCTGATTAGCAAACATTCGTATGTTAGACCTTCGTTCATTGGACTACTCCGGACTCACTCGACGCCGGAGAGCCGTTCGGGCTTTCTCCGCGCTTTTGAAAATTCATTCCTCCGCTTCTACTTGAGATTAAGTAATGAAACCGCTGTCATTGATTGAGAATTTAATTCTCTATCGATCGGCATCGGTGCCATTCCTTCATCTTAATTAGGGTGGGAGAAATGAATTTTCCAATCGGGAGAGCCCCTCCGGGCTCACTCGACGTCGGAAAGCCGTTCGGAGTTACTGCGCGCTTTGAAAATTCATTCCTTGTCTCCTAATAGAGATTAAGAAATGAAATTCCATCGGGAGATATTGTCGATTGGAGACAATTTTTTATGGTCACTGAAGGAGGCAAACCATTCATCTAAATCTCGCAATAATCTGCTAAAAATCTTATTCATTAATCTATTATTATTGAATTAATCCCATTATGTGTAGATCGCTGGAGAACAACGAAAACGTTCCAACCGTTCAAACGAGTTGGAATTAAATGTTTTCTCTCTCCTCCTTCTCCATTTTCTTTCTCACTCGCACTCGTTAAGTTTGGCGGAGGACGGGGACGTGCCAACGCGACGGAGACGACAATGAGTGGGAGCGAGCGCGATACCTATTCCTTTCTCACTCAGGGGGGGAATAAATATATATAATCGAACATTACTATAGTAAAAAAAAAAACAAAATCTGCACAATTATTCAATAGAATCACTGGAAAACTATAGAGTTTTCCAGCGACAGCGCTGGGATTTTCTATGAATTTTTTGAC